AACACTTTTTCCTGTGTTTGACTGGGGTTTTTTTGGTTTTTTTTTTTTTAGGGATTTGTGTATTGGTGAACCTTATTCATTTTTCTATTGAAGTATTATTAATCTTTAATTTTATTGATAAAAAAACCTTTGTACATATTAAACTCCTTTTACACTTGTTTTATAGGTATTTCTCTCAACTTGTGGTTTTTACTTGAATTTGTTTGTAGCATTTTTGACAAACATAAATTTTACATTTTTATATAGCAAATCAATTGTTTTCTTTTGATGATGTCCCAAGAGAGTCATTCATTATCCCTACATGACACAAATATTCATGTATGTTTTCTCATAGATAAATTTCAAAATAAATTCCAAATGGATTAAGTATTTTTACATTACGGTATGAGAGTTTTAACACAGAGACCCTTGTCTCAAAGTCTGGTTATCTCAATTTATTTAATAATCCATCCTTTAAACACTGATTTGAAATTTCTGGTTTTCATACAGAACCCTCGCAAGCTGATGACAGAAAAGCCAGCAGCTAGGGTACATGCTTAAGGCTTATCTTCTGAGCAACTGAAGGATGAAGGGGCAGATTTGTAACCACTGAGGCTGAGAGGATTGTTTGGTTATGAGGGAGGCTGAAGAAAAGGGAGGAGTCAAAGGAGATGCCCAGGGTCCTTGTTCCAGTGACAGGGTGGGTTTTGTTGTCGTTCATTAAGGAAAGGAATGTGGTAGGAGTGGTTGGTGTGGGCAAGGGATCAAGTTCACTTTCTTGGATGTGTTAAGTCCAAATTGCTGTGGAAGTTTAGTGTGCCTTCAAACCTAAGGAGTCACTTCATCCTTCAAGTTTCCCTTAAAATAATATTAGAGGCTTCTTCATTTCTACTGTTATCATCCTCAATACATTTTAAAATAAGTCTTATCAAAGTTTTTAACTACTGTTTTAAACTTACCTCATTGTCCTTAAGCAATAGCATATGGAGGAAAACNAGCATTCTCATTGTTCTTCCAAATAATGCAGAGGAATAGGGTTTCCACTTGACCCTTCCAAAGCCTGTGCTCTATGCTAAGCAGGAGATGAATGGCCTGGCTTGTGAGAGCCATCTTCTCCTTCCAGGATATGAGGAGTGAGCCCTTCCTACACCTGCCGCCCAGTCACACACTGGCAGGGTGTCTGAACATCTGCTTTTCCCTAAGCCAGCAGAGCTGCACCTCAGAAGTCCAGAGCCAGGTCCCTGCCTATTGTTTCCTGCTGCTCTGAGGACAGGCGAGCCAGGAGGCAGGATTCTGCCTGCATTTGCATTTAATTCATTCTGCCTGCCATTGCTAACCAATTCAATTAGATCCCTTTGAAGAAATCAATTAAATAATCAGTTAAAACAACTGAAATAGTCATACACACAAAGAAGCTAGTGAAATGCTTATTAAAACCCAGCCATCAAGGGCAGAAGTGACCTACTTTGGGAAAGGAAAAATACAAGAGACATCTGCCAGTGCCCTGAGGGGAAACGGAAAATACCGTATAAAACTGTAGTGTAATGCAAATCATGTAGTCAGAACTGCCTTGCTTTGGCCTACACTGTTGGCATAAAAGACAGGCCCAGCACTTTCTGAGGCAGAGGCTCTCTTGTTCTGAATTGTTGCTCCAGGCCTGTCTTGCAGGAATTAGCTCCTGGTGATCCCATGTGGTCTGTGGTGAACCCAGGTGGTCTGTGGTGATTCCATATAGTCTGTGGTGATCCCACATAGTCTGTAGTGATCCCACATGATCTGTGGTGATCCCACATAGTCTGTGGGGATCCATGTGGTCTGCAGTGATCCCATACGGTCTATGGGGATCCCACATGGTCTATGGTGATCCTGCATGTTCTGTGGTGATCCCATGTGGACTGTGGTGATGCCACCTGGGCTATGGTGATCCCACATCGTCTGTGGGGGTCCCACATGGTCTGTGGTGATCCCACATGATCTATGGTGATCCTACGTGCTTTGGTGATCCCACTTGGTCTGTGGTGATCCCACATGGATTGTGGTGATCCCACCTGGACTATGGTGATTCTATGTGGTCTTTGGAGATCCCACCTGGTTGAGGGCCTGTGCTGCATGACACCCCTGAGGCAGGCCACTCAGGAGCCGAGTTCTCATCTGAGTTCCAGCCTGCCCAAAGCCCAACCTTCAGCTGCGTTGCTCCTGGTCATTCCCTGTGGTCTTGGGGTCTGTGCCAGTTGAGCAGTGGGCTCCCTCAGGAGAGAGATTTTATTTCTACATGTCTACTTCTCTGTGTTTCAGGGCTGAGCCTGTTCTCTCCCGAATCCAGGAGAACCGGAAGCGAGTGATCCTCCCATCCATTGACAACATCAAACAGGACACCTTCGAGGTGCAGCGGTATGAGAACTCGGCCCACGGGTACAGCTGGGAGCTGTGGTGCATGTACATCAGCCCGCCTAAGGACTGGTGGGACGCCGGAGACCCTTCTCTCCCCATCAGGTCTGTGGCAAACACGCTCTGGTGGCCATGAGCCCCCAGATCCCAGAGGACAGAGGAGCCAAGGGAGGGAGGCTAGGAGAGACTGCTGGTCAGGGAGAAGCCATGTGTAAGTGGCTGCTTTAGGAATCTGGGGTGTCCTACCATCACTGTCTTCTTGCTGAGGGAGGACACTGCGTTTTGCTTCTTTAGCTAAAGTTTTTGAGGGCAGCTCATCAAACAGCAATACTGAATTGATAGGAAGGCTCACACTTTTTGATTCTACCCCATATCTCATGAACTATGTTCAAGATNTCAGCAGTTCTCAAATTGTAGTTTCCCATAACAGAACATGGGCGCCTCTGGGTCTTGTGAGACACACAAATACTAGGGCCCAGTCTAGACCTTCTGAAAATGAAATGTGAGGGACAGGCTGGCAATCTGTTTCAACACCCCCAGAAATGCCGAGTGCCATCCAGTTTGACAACTGTAGTCTAGCATATAGGCCTGGTTTTCCATCTTGGGCACAGCTTCCTCAGGTTCCCTGGGCTGCTCTGAAATCTCTGTTCAGTGCCCTAAACTGATATGGAGGGAAAGAAGGAAAAGAATTACTACGACCGGCTACTCAATGTTGAGCATTTACATGATACCAGGGATAATTCCAGGTGTCTATGTATATAGACATATACATATGTTAACTTGTTTAACACTCACCACAACCTTACGAGGTCCATACTATTATCACCCCACTTCTGTAGAGGAGGAAATGGAGGCACAAATTGATTGGCTGAATTTCCCAAGGTCACCCAGGTAGTAAATGGTAAGCCTAGGTTTTGAATCCAAGGCAGCCTGAGCTCCCAACCACATCTATGCCTCGTTAGAAGTTTCTGCCCCACACTACCCAGGTTCCATTATTTTTTTCTTCTTTCCAAATGAATACTGCCCTGTATTAGTTTGCTAAGACTTCCATTAAAAAGTACCACAGATTGAGTGGCTCAACAGAAATTTATTTTCTCACATTTCTGGAGGCTGAAGTACAACCAAGGTCAAGATGTCAGCAGGGCTTCTCCTAAAGCCTCTCTCCGTGGCTTGCAGATAGCTGCCTTCCCACTGTGTCCTCACGTGGTCTCCTCCGTGGCGTGCCCCTGGTGGCTATGTGTGTCCAAAATCTCTTCTTATAAGGACACCAGTCAGATTAGGTCAGGGCACACCCTAACCTCCTCATGAGCTTCATCACCTCTCTAAAGACCCTATCTCCAAAAGGGTCACATTTGGAGGTACTGGGGGTTTGGGCTTCAACAAATGAATTTGGGGTTACACTGTGCAGCCCATAACACTCCAGTTCCCCCACCATCCACACCTTTGGCTGACAGGAACTATTTCATGTCTCTGTACCCTTGGGGATTCTCTCACCTCAATCCATCTAAAGACCCATCCTCCATATCTCTTCTTGGTCACAGGGCAGCCTCATTCCAAGGAACAACGGTCATGACCTAGTGAGGTCAACCTCTATATATGCTGCCAATGTATGGCTTTGCTTTGACAAAAATCACCCTGTATAACTAAGAAGTGAGAGGTCTGCACAGTGTACATATAGCTTTTCTGGCAACAGTGTCTCCTAAAGCATTGTTTGTGGACCACTTGCATCTGAATCTCCTGGACCCCCTGAGTGGCTACAGCATGAGCCTCTCCAAGGAAACATCTAAGAATCCCTCTCTATCAGCCCTCCTGGCTTCCTGCATCTGGTGATTCTTATGTCCATAAAGGTATCAACCTTTATGTATGTGGCGTTAGACACGTTTGGCCTGTGTCTTAGCTCTTCCATTACTAGGTGTGTGAGATCTTGGGACAGGTTAGTATCCCTGACGCTGTTTCTTAATTTGCAAAGTGGAATTCATCTAGGTAATTAATGGAATAAATATAGCACACCTCCTAGGGTCACTGTAAGGATTAAATCAGATCATATAAATAAAGCCCTTTACACCCCCCGCTTGTTATGCGATCTCTGCTAGCATCACTTCTGCCACCATGGTAGCATGCCCACAACTGAGCAAAGATTTCTTTTACAGCCTAAGACCAAAACACCTACCCTGTTAACGTTGCATCTGGTGCGTGACTATGCAACCGGACCACTCAGGACATGCACTGCAAGAACCAGTGTGTGTGCGGGTGGAAATGCCCAGATAGCTATTGATAAACAGGACCAGGAGACAGTTGGAGGACGGGAATGCTGGCCAGGGAGGGAGGGCAGGCCACAAAGAAAGGAAATCTCAGGGGACCTCTGCCAGCCTGTAGCAGTGGGGCCTGAAAGCCACGCGTCTGTTCTATCCAGCTGTGTACCTTTGACACTGGAAGGACATTGCTGTCCTGTGCTGGAACATCAGACATGTCTTCTGACTCACACTGACTGAATTGTCTTTTCCATTAAAACTACAAACACGTGTACTTTTCTGCAATCTCTGAATTTCCTGAAAATCTGTCTGCATCATAATGGGTTGGACACAACTTTGAATGATATGTTTACAGACCTTCTTGTGTTTTGTCATTTGTAGAGGAGCTGAAGGCCCCCTTGGAAGAGTACGTTCACAAACGCTACCCGGGGCTGGTGAAGGTGGTACGCAATCAAAAAAGAGAGGGCCTCATCAGAGCGCGCATCGAGGGCTGGAAGGCAGCCACTGGCCAGGTCACCGGCTTCTTTGATGCCCA